AGTTGCTTTTTGAGGAGGAAGAAGCTGCTCAAAAAAAGTGAGACACTTTTTACCATATCAACTCATCTTCCCTGATTTTTTTCTTTTTTCATGTATTCTACTGAGGTTATGGTGTATCATGATTGCTCCTATGTTCTGAGTGACAAGTTACTACATGATAAAGTCATATTTCTTATCTTTTTTGGATAAATAATAAATTTCATTAAAACAAAGGGCAAAAGTTCCCCGTATACAAGAAGTATACCAAAAGATAGAAAACCTTACAAAAAGACATGGTTTTCTGTTGTATTTCATCAAAAAAAAAACATGGTTTTCTATGATTGCTACCCAATCATCTATACATAAGGGTTGTGGGTGCACCAAAAAACAATAAACGAAAAGAGGCTATTCCTAAAAAATACAAGATCTTTCTCTACTCCATCAAAAGCTCTCCTATTCCTATCTCTCCATACGGTCATATTTCTTTTTTTTTTTGAATTGGTAACTATTGTATATATTATAAAAATCAGTACATAGGTTGCACTGAAAACCAAATTTACATAGAGAGAATTTGAAGATATTCTAATTTAAAACCTAGCAGGATCCTAGTATGTCTATGATTGTCAATGTATCTTCTGTGTACATCTGTTTGCACCAAAAACAAAATAGAAGAATACAATTGAGTTTGATCTTCTGCAGTGGATTGCTTCTGTCTTCAAAACATCTAGTGTTCCTTTCCCTCCAGACTGTCCACCAAATACATGCCGGAACAGTCCTCCATCTATCTCTGCTAGTTGCTTCAGCTCCAGCTTCTTCCCAGCTATAAATGACATCTTTAATCCTGTATGGCATTGACCATGAAATACCCCTAAGACTAATAAAGATTTTCCATAGTTGGTCTGTAATCTTGCAATGTAGAAACAAATGGTTGACAGTTTCTGCATTTTCCCCACACAGAAAACATCTTGAACACATAGATATTCCCCTTTTTATGAGGTTTTCCTGGGTTAAAACCGCCTCCTTTGCTAGTAGCCAAGTGAAGCAAGCTACCTTGTATGGAATCTTTGTTTTCCATATATGTTTCCAAGGCCATGTGTCTACCTGTTGATTATCATGATTCAAAATCTTATATGCATCCTTCACTCGGTAAACCCCTCTGTTGTGCCTCTTCCACCATATTGAATCCAACCCTTCCTGTAATCCTGTAAATGCTTCCAGCTCTTTGTAGAGGTCAGTTAATCTTGTTATCTCCCAGTCATTCAGCTGTCTTCTTAGAGCTATTTCCCATCCTTGACAACTCCTCATATCAGCTACTGTCTTATGCTGGTTTTGTGCTAAACCGAACATATCTGGGTATCTTTCCTTTAAGCTTCCAATTCCTAACCAGTTATCATTCCAAAATGATGTGTTCCTTCCGTTGTTCACTCTTATGGAGGAGTGATTCTTCATTATTGGCCAAAGTTCTCTGATGGATTTCCACACACTTACTCCATATGATGTTCTGACTTTTTTTGACACCCAGTTGTTTTCTTCACCATACTTTGCTTTGATCACTTTGGACCATAAAGATTGGGGTTCTTTAGAGTACTTCCATAACCATTTAATTCTAAGAGCCTTGCTTTGGTTCTTCAAATTCCTTATCCCCAATCCACCTTGTTTTTTATCCATTGTTAGCGTCTTCCAATTGACTAAATGGAAGACCTTTTTCTCCTTATTGCCTTGCCAAAGGAATGTTCTTCGGAGTTTGTCCAATCTCTGTAAAATGCCTGCTGGAATTGGGAACAAAGACATCATGTAAGTAGGTAGAGAGTCTAATACTGAGTTGATTAGAACTAGCCTACCCCCCAATGATAGGTACTGCGATTTCCATCTTGACAACTTCTTCTCACACTTTTCTATGACTGAATTCCAGATTTCTTTTGATTTGGATCTTGCACCAAGAGGCATCCCAAGGTAAACAGTTGGTAGGGACCCAACTTCTCCTCCCAATATCTGAGTCAGTTGCCCCATGTTGTTAACTTCATTAATGGGAAAAATATTGCTCTTTCTCCAGTTAATGTGTAATCCTGATACTCCTTCAAATAAAACCAAAATGATCCTTAAGAATCTAAGTTGGTCTTTTTCAGCATCACAGAAGACTAGAGTATCATCAGCATATTGGAGATGTGTGATCTCTAGATTGTTAGCCCCACTCATGTTTACCTCAAAGCCTTTAACCCATCCACTGACTTTAGCCGTTTTGATCATGTTGTTCAATCCTTCCATGGCTATGATGAATAGAAAGGGAGATAAAGGATCACCTTGTCTGAGACCTCTGTGTGAATGAAAATAACCTTTAGGACATCCATTTATAAGAATGGAGAATTTCACAGTAGATATGCAAAATTTCATCCATCTAATCCATTTTTGCCCAAAACCCATTTGTTCTAACATTCTTAGCAGGAAGCTCCAGTTCACATGATATCCAAGGCCTTCTCGATATCCAATTTGCATAAGATTCCAGGTTCTTTTTTTTTTATTCTTGAGTCCACAGCTTCATTAGCAATCATCACTGCATCAATTATTTGTCTTCCTTTGATGAACGTCATTTGTTGAGCATCAACAATTTTNTCCTTTCTATTCTACAATTTGGAGCATACACTCCTGTTATGTGACATTGAAAATTCTGTAGAAGGGCTTCAAACTTGCACGTCAAAGTGTATGCACCAGTCTGTAACACCTTCCCTTTCCATACTCTGCAATCCCATAACAACAAAATCCCCCCTCTCGTACCGCTAGCTTCTAAACTTGCATACCTCACCCATCTACCACCCCATATTTGAATGACTATTTCCTCGATATCCCCCTCGACTTTTGTTTCTTGCATGCAAATAATGTCTGCCCTCCAATTCTGCACTTGACTTTTTATTATCTCCCTTNTCTTCTTATCATTTAGACCCCTTACATTCCAGGAAATTACTTTGATCCTCATATAGAAATAATTGATAGATCTCTTCCCCTACTCCTTTTCCCGTCACTCTTGAATTTGACATCGAAAGAAGTCAAACCTTTTAATTCCAGTGATCCTTTGAATCTTTGTTTCTTCACCTCCAACTCTGACTCCACCCTTCTAACCTGTCTGCAGCTGTCAATTTGCATTAACAATTCCAATGCTTCTTCTTCATGTCCTTGGAAATCTACTCCAAACATTTTCCCCAATTTGATCATATTTTGGTGGACCCATATTGTTGCATCCATGTCTTTATCCAATAATGGATTGTGTTGCTGAACTGCTAAAGGATTCACCTCCTCGATTTCCCACTCTTGAATAGAGCTAAATCGCTTTAGATGTTCCAGAGTACTTCCCACGTGATCATTCCCCATCTTTGAGTTTATGCTTTGCTCCCCTTCCTTCTGTTCCAATCTTGCTGAATCTGCTCCACCTTCTGACTGACTGCAACTGGTAATTGTTTCCTTTTGCATACTTTCAAGATTCACATTAAGGTTTTGATCCCCCGGAGATGACTCTTTTGCCCCCGAGTGAGAAGGTCCTCCCATTTCCTCGATATAAGGCTTCAGCCCAGTATCTTCAGAGATCTTACACGAGAGGTCATTAAAAATGACTTGTGCAGCCATATCGGGGTCATAGGATTTCAACTTGACTTTTGACACTTTACTGCTTTGATTCATCGGAGTTGAACCTTGTGTAAATTGTCCACTTGCCTTTCCTTTACCAGTGTTTAGCTCATACCGTGTCTTTCTTTCAGCCCAGATTGGGATGAAAAATTTGGTACCGTCTCTTTCAATCCCCACCTCATTGGGAGTCTTTCTGCCATCACCAGCAATTTTGATTCTTGCCCACTTAAGATGTTTTTTGAGATCAGTTTCTTCTTCTGTAGCTAACCAACCCCCACAGAGATCTCCTATTTCTTTGAAGATCTTTTGTGACCATAGATGTAAAGGAATCCCCATGGCTCTAATCCAGCATGTTTCCTCAACTTGTGAGTTTGGAATGCAACCGGCAGTATGATTCCACCAATCCAGATGAAGCTTGAATTTTTTCCATCTCCATTCTCCTTGCACAATCTGCTCTGCCATGAATCTGTTTGGAAATTCAAACATTTCTTAATTCTTATTATTGTTTAGCGTAATCTGTTAATGCTAATGACGTAACTATTTCTGGAATAAAAACATTTACGTGCTCTGAAGATGTGCTCCTGCAGTTTATAACCTTATTTTTTGAAGCAGATTTCTCAACAAGTAGAAGACAGTTTCGTACTTTTATATGTTTGTCAATTTCTAAACTTACGGATATGGAGGTAAAGAGCGCCATTGTTACAGTGCTGTGGAGCTTGGAGATTTTGATATTTGCATTTAAAGACATGGCAAATAACTCATCCGTTTCACCTGGAAGTGACTTACTTTATTATTTGTTGGGAAGTAGATAAAGACAGGGCAGCGACAACTGTTGTAAGCATTCACCCCTAAGGGGATGGAGCAACTTTGACATTGGGAGCAAGTTCCATTCTACTTCAAATAAAAAGATTACTTAGTCAGATTAACTTACTTACCACGTCAGCTTGACAGTTTTTTAAAACTTTTGGCACTTTTTATTTGAATGAATCTTGGTTTGTCGCTTCTTTGAGGGTATAGCTATTGAATTCCTTTCAATTATTTCTCATGTGATATGCTAGGCAAGCTGAGCTATTGGAAAGGAAAAAGGTGAAAAAGCTTCGACAGAAGGAACTGAAAGCAAAGGAGCAATCAATTGAGGAGAAAGGAATTCTGGAGGCACCAGCTGATTGTTTTGAGGTTCCATTGGCAGAAGTCTCTAGCCTTCCACGGCCATCTGATTCCTATTCTAATATTCCTGACGTATCTCTGGACGTCTCCACCTCTCTTGAAATGGTTCAGTTCTCCAGCAATGTAGATACGAGCGTCGAATCCCAATATGATCTTTGTCACCAACACCTGGATTCAGTTAAAGCTCATAATCTTGAACCCCGACCAGTGTCTGCCAATAGTCGACGGCGTTTTGCCAATTCCCAGTTGCAAGCACCAAAATCGCAAAGGTCTGGGCGAAATGGTGGTTTCCATAACAATCAAAATCATCAAGCATTGAAAGCTGAACCTATACAGAAGCACAAGGACAGTGGTACCCCTGTTAATAGCAGTATGATATGGACAAGAAAAGTTAGAGTTGAAAGTGATGATACTTCAATACTGGAGGTGCAGAAAGAGGACATAGATCAGAAGCAGAGCAAATCTGAAGTGATAATTGGTTCTATATCTGTTCCCGTGGAAGATTGCAGCACTCAGCAGCAGGGAAGAGATGATTTTGGAAGCACAGAGCTTCGTAAAAAATGCAATGTTGTAGAGAAGCCAGCTAAGCATGATGCTCTTCAGGTTGGGTCAAATAGAGCAGCTGCCAAGCTTTGGAGGCCTGTGAGGCATACAGTTGGAAGACAAGATCCTGAAGAAGAGGGTGTCATGTGTTCAAAGTTTGATGATCGAACATCATTAAATGAAAATTGTTTGCAGTCATGTCCCGTGGACAGCTCTGGCAGTCGTAAGAATTGTCAGGATCCAGATGGAAATGCACATCAAGGTTTGGGATTTTCAAGTATCGCTGCAAAAGCTTTTCTTGCTCAGAGTATGTTTTACTAGCTCTCATGTTTCTATATATTATTATTACATGCATGCACAAACACAACCATGCATATCTGCTCCAAGTATTGTCTGCTTCTTCTTCATTCTGATTGATCTGAAAATCTATGTAGGATGGAGGGAGGCCATTGCTGGAGATCATGTCAGATTAGTGCTTTCTCCTGACACTGAGTCTTCAGGGCGCCCGGAGGTGCCAAGTAGCAGCAGTTCAGAAGCAGCCCCAGCATCAGATTCTGGGGAACATGGGGTTGTTTCCAGAGCTGACACTGAACTGGCAAAAAATGAAGTTCTTACTTCATCTTCAAGTGGAAACATTAAGGTCAAGTATAGGCCAAAGCCCGAAAAGGGTGTTAAGACAATGTACATTCCCAAGCAAAAAAAACATCATTTAGGATAAAAGGCAACATTCTTACTCATACCTGAATATGCAGTTTCTAGCCAGTGCAGCAGAGGTTCCTTTTTACCAGTTGTCTTCTGTGAGAGAGTTAAAGATAGGGTTTCTAGTGAAAAATAGCTTGTAGTTCCATCCTCTAGTTTGAGTCGTTACAACTCATTTTTGGCTCGGGCTTTTGCGCCTAACAATTTTGGCGTAATAAGTTTGGGTTTCTTTTTGGTCTTATTTGTCAATTCTTTCCGCTCACCAGATATCTCATATTTGTCCAGACAATGTATGAATGAATACAAATCAATTTGTGAAATGATCCCAAAGATTAGAGAGCAACCATTTTTGTCTTTCTTTTTCTAATTGCTATTAGATTTGGGCAACCCTCGCCCCTCCTCTCCATTGATGTCCATACAGTTCCGTTCGACTAAATTTACCTCTCCCTAATTAAAGGCTGGTTTTTGTTTGTTATGGCGCAAACTCAAAATGCAGCAATGGCCAATTGGCTCAATACAAGAACTAAACCAAAACTGGAATGTTTCTCATTGATGATGGTAAAAATGAGAAAATGAAGGTTGAATACAATCTGACTACAATGCAAAAATGAGTTAACTGCTATTATACAATTATGACATGTCACTGATTAACTAATCTTCCATATTACGTAATAAGCAACAGTCAAGCTAAGGATAACCACATTGCTGAATTACCAGCTCGATGATGCTATAGCTATATACTACATTGTTGCCTATTTTGAACAATGTAGTAAAGGTGATATTAAGTGAACTTTTTCTCGTCTTACTAAGCATTGGTTGTCAGTAATTGTGGTGGCAGGAGATATTAATTAGGTCCACTGTGTCTTAGCTGAGCTGTGTGACTGACTACTGATCTTGAAATCACTATTATCAAACTAAGAAAAAAGAAGCGTGGGAGGGGAAAACATGTGAAGAAGAGGACATCAAATGCAATTAAGACAGCTTCAAAAAATTTGATTGTTGTATGGGTCAAAATCTGACTAGACAAGAATTTGCATGGGAAGAGACGGCAAAAAGTTACTTGGGACTGTCGCATCCATACCACGCTGTAACAACACGCACCTCGGCCACGGCCGAGGTCATGTATTCAGAACGCCTGAGAGGCGAATTGGATATTACGGCACTTCAAGGGGTCAGCCCGTAGTATAGTCGAACGACTAAGCACTATGGTTAATGACCGCTGGGTGAAGACCTAGTATATAAACTAAGTGATAAGAAGAAGAAGGGGAGGCGGAGCAAATCCAGACACAGACATGTTTTCTAAAAGGAAGAGAAATCTTCACCTCTCTCTCCACCACGAAGGAGAAAGAAGCAAGGAAACTCAGATCATCAATATATATTGTTAGTCTAATCATATCAAATGTATGGGGTTCTACCTTGCTAAAGATCGGTGACCTTTCTCATTTGCGTCTTCTTAATTGTTGTTTAACATTATGAAAATTACCATCCTCTTCTTATATAATGGGATTCAATCACTGTTATAGTTAAATCTTATGTGTGCTATGCTTGTTTACTCTCATCTTCTATCTTAGATCTAGAGTAAATTATCGTTGGTTAAGATTTACCTAAAGTCTTCTTATTTAATTAGTTTAACAAAAAGCTCAGCACTTTTTGGTCAAACAATGGTAAAGTACTCAATGTGTGTTGAACCTTTTTTATTATTACGTACTATTTATGATGTAAATTGAGCTAAAACTTTGATAGCTTGAATTATAGAATACGAGTATTTTTCTATAACAAAGAGATAAAAGGAGATATTCTATAGAGACGTATATATGAGTCATGTTTTAAAATAAATTAACATCATTACCAAAACCAAGTAATACAAATTTGTTTGAAGTTATCTGTTCCATATATATGCGTTGGCGCTCGTTCACTGAGAAACAAAAATAGGTCAAAATAATGGAAATAGCTTAATTTTGAATATATATATATATATATATATATACGACGAGTTACATTTAATTATGAGGAAAAAAAGAAAGAAGGGATTAAATAAATACGTTATGCGTGGGAAACAAAATTAAGGCGAGTAAAAACAGCTCACTGTCACCACTAGTTTGCCAAATGAGAAGCCTCTTTAGTAGATTTGACTAGAAGACAGATCCGAAAGAGACGATTATGACATCCCATTCCCAGCGTATTACTATATATCCTCATGTTCAATACCATCAACTGCCTTATATTTATAAACTTAAGACAGTGAATGTTAACTGCCACTGAATTCATCATACTTTTGTAAATGCATAAGTTTTGGACGCACCCACTGTTTCAGATCGATATGGTGTTTCTTGTTGCCTGTATTTCTGCCCAAGGCCTTCAAGATATACTACTCTCCTTAAACTCAAAGATAATGTCTATAGTTTTTCAGATATAAATAAGTGGTGCAGAGGATACTGATTTTACGTCAGTGTTGTTCGACAGTTTCATAATTGCTGTTTTGAACCTCGGATCATGCATTTGAGAGGTACGTGTCTTTTCTGAATATCATTTGGTTTCCCAGGATACATGTGTTGACTGTGGCATCACGGAGCCAGAATTTTCACTAAACAACAATAACAATATATATATATTCAGTGTGACCTCACAAGTATGTAGAATGTAGAGTATATACAGAATACTCTTATCTTATTTGAGGTAGAGAGGTTATTTCCTATAAATCCTCGGCTCAAGAAAAATATTTTCAAAATAAGTTTGAAAACTAAGCGAATAAAGAAGCTATGGTAAAAATATTAAAGAAAAGAAAAGTATTGACAGAAGATTGTACGATAACCAAAGCAAAATAAACAGCAGTAGTAATAAAATTGAAAAATAGATAATAGAGTAATAGAATAACAATAATAATAATAAATACGGGTAAGGAGAAGAGGGAGCATATAAGGCGCTCTAAACTAGAACCATGCTCTCCCACAAGAAAGAAAGAAATCGCTCGACTACCTACTACTATCATTTTCCCCTAATCCCCGACCTCCTTGCACTCCTATCTAGGCTCATGTCCTTGGTGAACTGAAGATGTGTCATGTCCTTTATAATCACCTCTCTCCACCAGTTCTTTTTCGTACTGCCTCTACCTCTCCTTAGACCTATCGTTGTCAACCTCTCGCACCTCCTCACTGGGCATTTGTGCTTCTCCTCTTCACATGTCTGAACCATCTCAACCTCGTTTCACTCATCTTGTCCACTATGGAGATCACTCCCCCCTGCACCGTATATCTTCGTTCCTAATCTTATCTCCCGTAGTATGCTTGCACATATATCTAAGTATCCTTATTTTCGCTATTTTCATCTTCTAAACATGGGAGTTCTTGACTGACCAACACTCTGCCCCATGTAACATAGTTGGTCTAATATCCACTATATAGAACTTACCCTTAAGTCTTGGCTTATCACATATACGAGCCTCCATTTCATCCATCCCGGATTATTAATCCAAGGCGCTTGAAGCTCCCTCTATTGGGGATCACTTGTGTATTAATCCTTACTTTCTCATTTGCCTCATGTGTTACGTCGTTGACCTTTCACTCCAAGTACTTTTGTTTTAGTCCTACTCAACCTGAAACCTTTAGACTCTAGGATCTGTCTCCAAACTAGTCTAGCATTAACTCCATCGGGTGTCTCGTCAATCAATATATACTATGCCATCTGCAAATAACATACACCATGGTATCTCGCCTTGAATATGTTGTGTCAATTCATCCATTATCATGAAAATAAAAAGCGGGCTAAGAATTGATCCCTAGTACAACCCCATTAAGATTGGAAAATGTTATGAGTCTCATTTTACTGTTCTTACTCGGGTCTTGGCTTCACTAAGTAGATTCAAAATATAAAGAAGTAGTAAAACATAAAGAAACTAAGAAAATTCAACATCTACTCAATTTTGAATCCCTTGTGTCCCCTAGCTTCACCCACGCACACGTACACAAACAGCACTCATATATTGGCTCGTCAGTTTGTTACCTTAGCTTGTTCTTTCTTCAAGCATAGGTAAGCTGGCTAGAACATCTTTTTCACTCAGTTTCCTCTCATAGGAGAAGCAGCTGGTGGCACCTTGAATATGTCACCTTGTGATACCAGCAATGTTATATAGAGAATGAATGTTAAGCTTCTAGGGCTTAACGTATTCATGACATAGATGTTGCATGGTTAAGATGGATGTGCAAACAATTCACTTCGAACAAATGGGAAAAGGTTGTCTAAAATAGTTAAGTCAATAGACCTATATCAGTCAGTAATTATAAATTTATAATTCTGGAAGGTTTAGAAAATAAACAATGTAGATCCTAAAATAACATTGAGAATATTTGTTTCGAAGTCAGTGATTTCATAGAATCCATGTATATTGTTAGCAAAGAATATAGCACAGCAGTACAGTATCCATAACAGCGACACTAAATAGTTAGAACTACAATTTTATCGTAATTGATACTCCATTTGATAAGCTTACATTAGGTACGGTACATGACAAGAGGCTCTTTAGTTTGAGTAAAAAAGTTGTGTGAAAACGTAGGAGATTCAGAATATCCATAGTTAGAGAAACCCTTAATTTGTCCTAAACAAATTATTGCATTTGGATACAAAACAAGCCCAAACCGAGCAAAATAGATATTGAAGATTTATTAATTAATTCCAACTAGTTTGAGATCGACACGTAGTGTCTGTATTTGCTAGAGCTCACAAATCGACAATTACCTTTGCGTGTGTAAGTGAAAGAGTAAACTTGAACAACCGGTAGCTTTGCATCCCTTTGCAACTTCCTGGACGTTCATATTAGTACAAGCTCTAAAATTCTCAGGAAAAGCGCAAGTCAGATCAGCCACTATTACAGTTGCAGAAAAAACCCAAAAACAAGATAACACCAACTCAAGAAGAGGAAACTTGATCCACTAAATTTAATATCAATAAGAAATAACAAAAGTACAAAATTTACATACACAGTAACACGACATTTTGATACGGAATTGAAACATAGAACCCACAAGCACTTAAGCCATTTCATGGCAAAAATGCTCATATTATATTCCTCATGTCACGGAAAAGACCCAAGAAACATTAAATTGAAAAGACCCAAAAAAAAAATGAGAGTGAAAAACTAACACAGCTTAATTTGAACTAAGTTATTAAAGAATAGGAAAACAAATCTAAGATTGGGAAAATTTTGCAAAATTGGAACTTGTATCTAGAAATGTAGGACTAATGAAATAGTGGTTACCATGAAACCACATACAACAGAGACTTTCCTTGTATCTCGAAATTCCCCTAAACTTCAGCCATTCAGGTCATTTCCCCAGGATTAGAAATCAC